GCTCCCCAAACTAAAAGGGGACCCAACCTTCTCTTGGCTGTAATCGTACTTTAGAACATGAAGTTATGGGGGAAACGTAGAGAAAATGGAAAGTTAACAAAACGATGGAGGCCTTCAATAAGCAGTGTGATTTGACTGTGTGCATTTCTGGGTAGCTTTCCAGTAAGGGCAAAGCCTAAAGGGTGTGGGGGATGATAACTGGGAATGTGTTCAGAGGGTCGCCACCTGCAAAATGTAGATAAAGACAAGTATAGAGAGGCCCCATCGTCATGAGTAAGAGTAATTTCCACACAAAGGTAAGTCCACACAGAATTTCCATTCCGTGTGAGAAGAAACAGAAAGCAGGCATGGTCTGAGAAATGGCTGAGTCTGGAAAAAGATAGAACCACTCTCCTCTCCAGGTTTAGATAAATAATGACCCCAAATTGTTTGCTCTCTGTTCCTCTCTAGTTCTGCTTAAACTCAGCATCTCTCGTAGTTCAAATGCAAGAAAGCAGACACACCACCTACCTACCCACACCCACATGTACACATCCCATTCCTGAAGAGCACACACAATAACGAGAGATAACTGCTCAACTCTACCTGGAAGTTGCACATTCAAAAGATCTGCTAATCAAAGGACCTACTAACATATAATGTGTTAAAGAATTTAACTAAGCTAAGGGCAATCATACCAGAATACCACTAGCCAAAGGAGAATAGTGAGGACTGAACCATGACCTTTCTTCTCCTGCCCAAATCTCTTTCTAAGAGTCCTGGTAAGTCACGCCTGCAAATGATAAAATCTCATTTAACAGGTTTGTATTAACCCTGTATAATATGGCTTACTTTCCAACCTGATTCCAGCATAGCATCATATAACAGGTAAAAGACTCCCTTATCTTAATTAAGTCAAGCATTCCTTTCTAATGACTCAAGGTCTTTAGACAAAGCTTAACTCTTCCAATCAACTGTCAAACAATGAATCCCTAAAACCCACCTATGACTTGTAAACCCCCACTTCGAGATGTCCTGCCTTTTCTGACAGAACCAATGTACACCTTCCCTGTATTGATTTATGTTTTACCTGTAATTTCTGTCTCCATGAATGTATAAAACCAAACTATAATCTAGCTACCTCCGGCAGTTTTTCTAAGACCTCTTGAGACCATGTTCCCCAGGCCACAGTCACATATATTTGTCTTGAATAAACTTCTTGAAATTATTATAGAGAGTTGGATTTTTTTTTCCATTTACACTAGTCTCAGAAAGCAATGGAAATAATTTCCTAGGTTGACCCTTTCCACCAAGCCTATCCACAGTCTGCTCATTGGATGTCTTCTGTTCCAACCTACTGGGACCTTCATTTCATTCTCTAGGATTCTATTCACTCCTCGCTCACTCTCTGCTACGCAAACCCAAAATGTCCTGGGCTCCTTTGACATCCTGAATCCTACAGTTAGGAAGGTCTGGGACTTCCTGATTTCCCAATGCCTCATCCATCACTAAGAGACTCTGAAGCTAGATTGGATCCTTTTGTAGCAGTTCCCTTCAATCAACGATATCCCCGCAAGCCCATCTCTTCCATAATGGCTTCAGTGACAATCTCTCAGGGAACTTCCTTGTTCACTGTCCCACTGAAAACAGCAGAGAGTGACTTCACTCTTGAAGACAAGCCAGCATTTTGGTTATGAGGGCTCCAATCCCAAAGTGTAAATATGAACCTTCTTTATTGGGAGCATTGTGAGAAGGTACTGTCCTCAATTCTACAAAGAGCAGTAAAGATTACAGCTAGCAAATCTGATGACTACTGAACTGAAAATATATTTATCAAGAAAGTAAAGCTAAATGTTTCCAGGAAAATATCTTTCTTAAAAGAAAATGCTTTTGAAATATAAATCAAATGAAATAAATGCTTCTGGGGGACTCTCTGGAGCCCAGACCCTGCGACAAACTAAAAGTAATCAATAAATTGTCCTCAATAATCTCCAGGTCTGGGGCTTTACACAAGACCACAAGGGGAACAAGCCTTGAGAGAGGAGTTCCCCTGGGGGGTGGGGAGTGGGGGTCCATAGCCATGCTCTTATTTCTTGGGTTTGTAAAATAAGACTAATCCTGTGCAGTGGAAAGAAAGGCAGTGCACAAATACCTCCTTATGAGGGGTGAGTGGCAGCCACTGAACCAGAAACTAGCCAGATCACAGCTGAATATAATCCCACACTGAAGGTGACCTAGTCCCTGGGAGGAAGGAGGCAGATAAAACAATTTAATCTCACCTGGAGGGAGGACTGAAGGCAGGAGAATCTTGAGCTTTTTGTTCATTTGCTCTTTTCTCCTCCTAAATCAATACATCACATTCCATGGTTCAAAGGATGTTAAGTGGTTTCATTTCTGGTTTACAGGCATAGTTCATTGCACTTTTGAGGGTAGGTGGTATTTATATTGTCTTTTTTTTTCTTTTAGAAACATAATAATGGCACATGTTCTTACATATATTGCAACCAGCCCTGTGCATTATTTATTATATAGCTCGGCTGAGACTGTTCCTCCTGTACAGCTCAAGCCATGCAATCTCAGCTCTATGTGGGGCTCTGAGGAGTCTAAGGAAAGGCCTTTGAATCAAAAGAATCTCCTCTCTCCCTTCCTGTCATGGTGCCTAAAACATTCACCATGAAAATGTTTCCACTGGGTTAGAAAAGGAAAATAAAATTCACTGTGAGCAGGAAGAGAGCGATACATTTATCTGTGGTCAATTTAGCATGAGTTGTTAAATTTGATGCTAGTTTTTAATAATTTTAGGATGTAGAACCGGGAAGATAGGAAGCTCTGGCTCCCGGAGTGCAACCAGAATGTTGACGCTGAACAGGTGCTATGATGATGCAGCCAGCACATTGGTTGTGTGCATGGACCCTGGAATCAGAATAACAAGGTTGGAAATCTGGCACCACCACTGGTCATGGTATTTTACCTCCCAGAGCCCCACTTATCCTATCTGCAAAAGCCGGGGGGGGGTGGTCCTGAAATTAATCCTCATGATGAAATACCACTCTTCTATATAATCCACACAAATAAGATTTTCAGTGAGCAGGAAAAATAGGCTGGAACTCCTCATGCACAATTTGGAAAGATGGGAAGGGCATCAGCCTTTGCCACTTTTTAGCTATATTATGACCTTAGATCACTCCTGGGACTGGCTACAAAACTTGCAGAGCCCAGTGCAAAATGAAAACATGGAGCCTCTTGTTCAAGACTTTTTAAAAAATAACTTAAATATGGTGACAGAGAGCATTAAACAAAGTGCATGGTCCTTCTAAGCAGAGGATCTCTGCAAATGTACAGGTGACATGCCTATGAAGAGAGCCGTCATTGGTCCTTTTGCCTAGAAAACCATAGTACTGGTTTTCTCAGGATCTAGCTCAGTGATTATCACTTGCAAGTGACAAAAGGAAAACAAATAGCATTCATCTGACCATCACAGGAACCCTCCCTATTCTTGCCCATAATACTTCTTGAGACAAACAAAAGTCCACACACTAGCATGTGCTTAAGAGAAAAAACTGGAATGATATATGAGAGTATACAGTTGTTATAACTAATCTTACAGAACAGCAGAAACCAGCCTCTTTTGATTCATACAAGTGTATGCTATGAGATCTTTTCTCTCTCTCTCCCTCTGTCTTTTTTTAACTGAGCTATTTCTTGGAATGCCAAATCATTTAGGGGCTTTTGCCATGTTTGAAGTCCTCTTCTTAAAGTAAGAATAATCTCTGTAGATATAATATTAACATGGCACCAAAGTCAGCACAAACAAAAATGTAAAAACAAGAGGCACCTTTATATCATAGTGACACACTGGGCCTCCACTCAGCTCCTCTTTAGAAACAGAACCTGAAAAACAGACTAAACAGCCACTTTCTTAAATAAACAATCGTTCAGGGAAGGTTACCCTGGAAAGATTACTGTCTCTAGCTCCCAATCACTGCTTATCTGCCCAGCAGAGAACTCTGTAACTATTACAGAAATTGCTCTTAAATGCATAAAAAACATAAAAGGATTTTTTGGAAGATCCCTTATTATTCATTAAAGCATTTTAGGGCCTCATTAATTCAGATGGGATAATCAGTTGTTGATTAGCCAGGTTGTTAAGCACACATTGTCAGATGCTGATGGGGTGTGAGAAATTATATTTTCTATCCACCAAAGAGTCACCTGAATGAGGTCAGCACTTCATCAGATAAAGCTGTATCTTCTAGGAAAATATTAGCTGGGTCTCCATTCTTTTCTTTCATCTCTCAAACTTCTCTGCATCATAAAACATTCCTTATTCTATTTGCTTTCTCTTGCCTAGCTAAGGTCTGAAGCTGTCAAAATCCGTTTTCAAAAGCTAGTTGGTAACAGGTAAGTTACACTTGTGCACTTATTCTCAGGACTCTAACATTAAAAAGGCATGTGGGCTGGGGGGCTGGGTGTGTGCGCGCGTGTACATGCACCTGGATTTGGCTTTGGCTTTGGTTTTGTTTCACAGTTCTTATCTAGGTAGGGCTTCCTCTACACCTTCAGTCTTTCAGATCCAGGTGGCATTCAGATTATCAAGGGGATGCTTCAGCCAGGGCTGAGTGACTCAACTTCCTTCCTTTCCAAACCTTGACTGAGAGTAGCAGAGCAGCAGTGAGCATGGTGAGAAAAGTTCCTGGATTAGAAGCTGGAAAATGTGATTCAGATCCTGATTCTGTTTTAGGAGAGGAAGTGACCACCATTAGCAAACTACTCTCTATTCCAACAAGTCATTTCATCTCCCTGACAGTTTGTAATTTATTTTCTCTCCCTCTAACAACAGAAAGACATTCATATTTAACCTTTGTATCATACCTAGAAGAGTTGGGGGTGTATTTCTATAAAGGCAGACAAGTCCCCACCCCCTTTTGGGGCTTCTGGTCCAAAAGGGACAGAATGCTCCCAACACTATAGAGGACACCCTCAATCAAACATTCCAAGAGGAGGGTCCTCGCTGTACTCACGGAACTGCTCTAGATGGTCAGTGCTGTTGCACTCGGGCATGGCTGTGACGGTTACCAGGGGACACGGATTTCCACCCAACGTCTGGCAGAGAGCCTCCTGCCGGAAGTAGACCTGCTTGGGGTTGACGCTTTTTTCCAGGATGTCAAGGTGAGTCTGGAGCAGAAATAAAGCAGGCGTGTGTATCATTAATATTTTTCGTAATAAATTATAAAAAACACACAGGTTATGCAGATCACATTGATATAACTCCTTATAGTTTAGAAGTATTCTTGTTAACTTAATCTGCCCTATATATAGTAGGCATTGGGTGATTAAAAGGGGGCTACCCCTGCTACGTAGGAGAAGCCCAGCGAGGCTAGTCAGGAAGCACCACTCTTGTACGTTTCGGGGTAATAGAAGGGCTGTTTCCCAGCTGTACTGAAAGCAAGAGGGCAGGGCACGAAGCACTCTTCCTTCACTGTGGCACGGGAAGGGGGTGGATACCGGGAAGACGGGGCACACCCAGAGCACCAGGGAGCTGAGACAGAAACGTCAGCAGCACGCAGGACCAAGCAATAAAGGAGAGTTGTGACTGTACTAGAAGAGGATACAAAGCAATTGATCCAGAAGGATTGCTAAGCTAAATGAACACGCAATTAGTAGGGATTGATTTTTTTTTTCCTACCATAACTCCCCATTTAAAACACAGAATAATACAAAAATGAAATAACCCTTAAAACCAGGATGCCTGGTTAACAGTTTTTAAGACTTCTCAAGAATATTTCACTAATAAAAACAGTGGGATTCGTTATAAAGAGGCTCAGAGACTTCCCCCCACCCACACTGCCTACCCTGCCAGCAGAGGCTGTAGTGACCAGAGCGGGGACAGCTGTCCCTCTGCGGCACAAGAACGTCACTCACTGCACGGGAATTACCCTTCCCGCTGACGATCTAAAATTTTCACCACCATCAAGCAGGTATTAACACGACCAACGAGAAACTACCCAGCTTGTTTCCTAACAAAAGCCAAGCCTGCTAGATAAATGAAACAAACAAAAACACGTGAATCTTATGAGAGTATTTATAAAATATTCATAAATACACGAAATACATGAAAAGGGGACTAGTGCCCTCAAAAGGTAGAGGGAGTATTTACACCTGGAAAGGATTTGCAGCAGATGTGGTAGGCAGAATAGTGGCCCCGGAGATGTCCACATTCTCACCTTCAGAACCCGTGACAGGTTGCTTAGCATGGCGAAAGGGACTTTGCAGACATGTTTAAAGTCTACTTGAGAAGGGGAGATTGTCCTGAATTATCCAGTTGGGACCAATCCAATCACGAGTGATTAAAGGCAGAGAACCTTTCCTGGCAGAAGAGAACCATAGCAGGCAGCATAAGAGTGTCAGCCTGATATTGCTGGCTTTGGATGTGGAAGGTAGCACCACCAGCCAAGGAATGCAGGTGGTCTCCAGAAACTAGAAAAGGTAAAAAAGAAAAAAAAAAAATTGTTCTCCCCCCTCCACTCCACCTCCCCTTCCCAGCCCCAGCCTCCAGAAGAAACAAAAAAATGCAGCCCCAACATCTTGGTCTTTACCCAATGAGAGTCAAACTTCTATAAGAAAAAAAAAATTTTTCATTCTTGAAGTCACTAAATTTGTGACAATTTGTCATAGCAGCAATAATAAATAGTAAAACAGGAAACAAGAATTTCCTAAACTAAGTAAAAATCTTAGCAACTGAATAGAAAAATATTAAACCTTTTGGTACTCTACTAAGACAGTTGAGTTACGAGGAGAATTAAAAAGCGCCAAAGAAAGAAAAGATTACCAGATGATTCTGTGGCCTTTCCTCTAGCCTCAGGGACATCTGAAAATGGGACCCTGCATCATCGTATCCTCCTTACAACTGAGAACCAAAATCATCCACCCCCACACAGCTACTGTCTACATTAACACGATTTTACTATTCCTCCATCCACTTTCATCAGCATAACTTTACTAATTCAGGAAACTCTCACCCAGGAAAATAAAATTACAAATAAATTTATTGTTCATTCCAGGAATATCCCATCAACTCTTTAATAAAAAGCATCAACCAATCTTGGATCCAAGACTCTTTGAACCCCTCTCCTCAAAACCCTTGCCTTACAGTGTCTGCCAGGCTTAAACCATTACCTAATGATCTTTCCCCAGTCCCAATTAAGACCCCACATTAAAATACTTGCCCTTTAAATCGGGAAGTGAAGGCTCAATAAATATCCTCACTTTGCCCTTTGCTCTTTGAGACACTATCAAGATTCTATCCCATTCTTTCTCTCTTGTCACGTATATTTGTTTCCTACTGTTATTATATCAAATCAGCACATTTGTAGGTTAAGAAAACAAAAGTTTATTGTTTTTTTAGTTCTGAGGGTCAGTAGTTCAAAATAGGTCTCACAGGGCAAAGTTCGAGGTGTGGTAGAGCTAAGTTTCTTCTGGAGGCTCTAGAGAAGAATTCATTTCTAGAAGTCCAGCTTCTAGAGGTCACCTGCATTCCTTGGCTTGTGGTGCCTCCCTCCACCTTCAAAGCCAGAAGTTGCATCGCCCCAACCTCTGCTTCCATCATGTCATTTCTCTTTCTCTGGCTCTGACTCTCTTCTCTCGGTGTTTCTCTTACAAGAACCCTTGGGATTACACCAGGCCCAACCTGATAATCCAGGAGAATATCCCCATCTCGAAATCCCTAATCGCATCTGCAAAGCCCCTTTACCGGGTAAAGGAAGATCTTCACAGGTGCCAGGGATTAGGATGTGGACCTCTTTGGAGGGGCATTATTCTGCCTACCACCCCAACATGAGCAATAAACTCAACTGTGTCGTAGAAACTGGTTATTCTGGTGGTATTCCAGAAAGCCAGCATTTGACACAATACTAAGTAAAGGAACTGTAAGAAGCATATCTATCCCAGATTAAAGATAAATGAGAATTCAGCTGAGGCCCATGTATCTGACCAAACCTTTGCAATTCATGGTTACAATTGTTCATCAAATAATGAGTGTCAGGTATTGACAAATTGCATCTGCACTGGAGACTGGGAGGTAGTCACATGAGCCCTGAGGGGGCCAAGGTGACTAATTAATTGTACATACACAAGCACACACACAACAGAGGGACTAGGCATCTAGCTAAGTATGAAAGTTGAGGAACCCCAGGGCCGAGATGGTCCAGCCCCACTCAACCTGATCTCTCATGATCACACAATTCCACAGTGAGGAGTGACTGGGACTCCAGAGATACTCACTGAGCCCTTTCCATGCATGCCATGTTGTTGTCTTCTCTGCACCCTTTGTTAGGGATGAATAATTTGATTCTGAGTAAAACCTAGTCTTGTGTGTTTCATTACCAATCTAGGCCCAGCACCACTGCTCTACTAGTTGAGTAAAAGGAAGCTTTCACTCTACAGTTAAGATTAATTTTAAAAATGTTATGTTTCTCTGCATGTGTATGTAAATAAACCTATTTACATATACCTAAAGAGAAAATTTCATTCTTGGCTCTTACTTCCTTCTGCAACACTAGATGCCGACGAAACTGCATAGAGTTTAAAAGGAGAAAGGGTTGTAATCTAATAAACCTGTATCCAGCCAAGCTTTTGCTCATGAACAAATGTAGCGGACATGCTCAGAAGTGCAAGAGCTCAGAAAGCCTATCACCTTATCTTTATCTAAAATAATGGCTTGAAGACATACTTCAATTGTCCCAAAATGAAACTCAAAAACAATATAAAAGGACTATAATGAAGTCCAGTTACACAAGGCTTAAGTCTAAATAACCATTAAAAATATGGTTACTACATAATAAAAGCATAAAAATAATTCTTCAGGGAGAAAATACACATTAAAAAACTTTGATGTCATTACCAGTCTCTAAAATGAAATTAAAGAGAGATGTGTGATGAAGGAATAAAATGAAACAAAATATTAACATTTTCAACTTATGTAGATATACTAATATTATTTAATTCTTGAAAATGAAAAGGCAGGATTTAGTATTATGCCAAATGCTGGCTCCCTGGAATATCACCAGAACAACCTGTTTCTATGACAGAGTTGAGTTTATTGCTCACGCTGGGGTGGTAGGCAGAATAATGGCCCTCCAAAGAGGTCCACATCCTAATCCCTGGCACCTGTGAGGCTCTTACCTCACCTGGTAAAGGGGCTTTGCAGATGCGATCAGGGACTTCACGATGGGGAGATTCTCCTAGATTATCAGGTTGAGGCCGGTGTAATCTCAAGGGTTCTTATAAGGAAAAAACAGACAATCAGAGGCAGAGAAAGAGGAGTGAGGTGATGGAAGCAGAGGTTGGGGTGATACAATTTCTGGCTTTGAAGGTGGAGGGGGGCAACAGCAACCAGGGAATGCAGGGACCTGGGTTCACATTCTGGCTGTGGATTCTGGGAAAGTTACATAAATTCTTTACTATACTTCTTTGTGACCCAGTTTTCTCATCTTTAAAATGTGTATAAACATACCATTACCTACCTCATGCAGTGGTTGTTACAGTTACATAAAGTATGTGAAGAGCATTTGTCATGTAGGAAACAATTAATGTTAGCTATTATTATTGATGGAGAAATGTAAGTTCAAATATGTTATTTTTAAAAACTAGTAGAATTATAAACTGAGGAGAAAAAAATCAAAGAAAACATGATCCATGTTGCATAAGAAAAAGAAAAGAAAAAAATCAGAAATGAAGCATGAAAAATAGCATAAAATCAAAATGACAGAAGTAACAGTAAAAACTATTATAAATAAAAACAGGTAATAAGCCTTATGAAATGACAAAAACTTTCAGATTACTTTTTAAAATCCCACTCTACGTTTATATATAAGAGGTACTTTTAAAGAGAGAGAAAAAGGAAAAAAAAAATGATGTGTATGAAAAACACTCCTAAATTGCCTTTACTCAAACATTTTAAAGGAGAAATATTGAAACTAAAAGGATAAGCAAACATAAATTAAAGTAGGTATGGCAATAGTAATATACGGCAAAGTCATATTCAAGATCAAGTGCATTAAATGGGATTTTAAAATCTTATTTTGATAAAGGGCACAATTCACAATGAACATATAAAACTCATAAATCTTGAGAATCAAATAACATGGGATTGAAATATATAACACAAAAACGGCAGA